ATTTAGCAGAATAAGTAAGAATAATTAATTTGGGGGGGGGGGGTTTTTTTTTTTTTTTTTTTTTTTTTTTTTTTTTTTTTTTTTTTTTTTTTATAATTAGAATATACTCTATAAATTTTATTTTTGACCTCCTAACCCAAGTCGTCTGGGTCCGTCCCTGACATGTCTCAGAGTGTAACGGGGAACTTCCCCTAGGGAATTACCAATAAGACTCATTCTATCTAATACTCTGAAAGGGGAGATTTTACTTCGTATGATCACATCCCATACACACGAGTTGGCCAGCAGAAGATAAACTACAACGGTTTTCAATTTCAGAAGAGAGAATTCTACAGAACTTGTAAGAGTCAATTCAACAGTTAATACCATCACAGATAACAAACTTTCACTACTTTGCAATTAAAACATTGAAAACATGAATACTGTTACTACTATGCTCCCATCTGTAGCCAGAATTCTGTGGGTTGGAGCCATTCAAATGTTGTTCTATGTATTACTTCAACGTTAAGAGGCCATCAACTTTCCTCTAGTTTCTATGCGCCGATGTCTTCCTTAAGCATGAAATCGTCTGTAACAAAAAAATATGTTTGTGTGTGTATCAAACGTGCACAAGTGAATCATAGCCCTACGTCATGTCATGAAGCTTGAAAGAACAATACGAACACCACCAAATCAAGGAGCTATGACCTATATATATATATATAGTCCAACTTCTGCTTATGGTTTTGTACCTTCAAATGCAATTAGTGAAAGTACACACTGTTTCATTGTACTATCAACTAGCAGCAACTTTAAGGGGAGTACTACCAGATTAGAAATACATATTTTTCTATTCGTTTGTTTCTAATTAATAGTAAAGACAATTATGTAATCCTATATATTGTGTTACTCAATTTGAACTCAGTAGATGTGCTTCTATAGTCAAGACGCCTATGAAATATTTCAAAATCACATCTATCTCAAACGACAATAAGATTGGTCTGACACGCCGTGAAATATAGGCAAAAGAGTTACAACAGAAACATAAATGCTCATGAAAAAATTTGTTTCTTTTTCCAAAACTATCACAGAAGTACGAAGTTTTTTTTAGTTCTAAAAGAATAAAGTACAACTTAAGATTTGCATCAAAAGGTTTAACATAAAGTACCACTAAAGAGGGCATGTAAATTCGGTACTCCAGATGTCACGTCCCCTGACCATGGCCTGTCGGGCCTCTCTCATTTTTTCTATTTGCTGAAAAAAAAAAATGCTGTATGGCCTGATGGCCACCAACCCATAGGCGGCCTGCATTAGATGACACCACAAAGGCGGGCTGTCTACTCCAGCCCACCCTTCTTTACACCTCTAAGAGAATCAAAGGTGACCTTCAATTCAAGAAATAAACGTGTAATCTTACATAGTGACAAAGAGTGTGAAAAGGCATTGAACTAATCCAAGGAATAATTCCTTTTGTGGTCCTGAACCTTGTTGTTTATAACAAAAGGGAGTTTGTTTACATGGGGGAGAAGTATGGGAAAAGGGAGTGCATATTGATGGGGGAATATCTAGTGTTGAATTGTCAATGGGGAGAATAAAGAATTGATAAGAGCTTCAAGGAAAAAGAACAATATATGTGCTTGCTATGTGATGTTTCAAGACTTGTATAAGCCTACATTGTGATATTTTATTTCTACAACAATGTAATCAGTCAAAAAGGAGAGGCTGTTAGAACTTAGCAACCTTAAATAGCTCAAGTAATCAAAGTGCATATACTAAACAAACCTATTACTATTTCTAATAAACTATGACAAAGAATGACTATACACAAGGCACACGAGTACAACAGATAAGCACCAGTCAGTAAGAAAATACCAGATAATTCAAGCTCCTAATATTTACTATATCATCATGAATGCCAAATTTTAGAAGACGGTTAGAGTGGCTGATTGGAACAGAGTTAACAAGGTCCTGTTTAACATTCTCTCCATTGAGCCCGATGTTTTGTTGTCTGACCCTAGCCAGCCCACCCTCTTCTTCTGTAGTTTTAGATAATTCAGTTTTTCTCTTTCACTTTAGTGACAGCATTTGTCCTTGGTATATATGATGAAAAGAGATTCCTGGCATCAACCTCCGCTTCAAATTAATTAAGTGGATTGAAGTTATTAGGCTCAAGATAAGGATGATCTCAGTTGAATATAATTTTCAGCCTCCTCCACTCGACCCAAACGAGTGAGAAGATCAATGATGCTAGAGTAATGTTCTTCAGACGCTTTGATTTTATACTTCCGAATCATTGATGAAAAAAAACCACAAGCTTCATCCGCGAATCCAGCTTGCTCACAAATATGCAGAACCACTTTAAAAGTGAACTGGTTTGGAGAGAAACCATTGGATAACATCTGCTTGAAAAGATTTACTGCTTCTTCATAATGACCATTACATCCATAAGCATCAAGAATAGAGGTCCATGTCATTGAGCCTTTCACAGGGATCGCATCAAAAGCCAACTTTGCCTTATCAATTGCCTCGCAGTTTCCATACATTTTCACAAGTTCAGAAGAAACAAAAGGAATAGATTCAAGATCTTTCTTCAAAACTTGTCCATGGATCTCCCTTCCAAGTTTCTGAACTCTAAGTTCACCACAAACACTCAACATCCTTGACATCGTTACTGAGTCTGGCCTGTGTTTGGACAACTGCATTGACCGAAAAACGCTCAATGCTTTATGTAGGTGAGAACATCCTATACAGGACTCAATCATCGCTGTCCACGATATTACATTCTTGTTCTCCATATTATTAAACACTCTCAAAGAATACTCCAAACTGCCACACTTTGAGTACATCATCATTAGCGAAGTAGCAATAGATACACTTGGAATAAATCCATTCTTGACAGCATAAGCATGAATTTCTTTCCCTTTTCTCAATGCCCGCAATTGACCACAAACTGGAAGAATCGTTGCAACCGTGACTACATCGGGCTTGAATCCTTCCTGTTGCATCCAAACAATTGATCTCACGGCCTGCTCAAGCCTCCCATTAGTGACATAACCTGACATAAGAGCCGTCCAAGAAACGGTATTTCTCTCCATGGACCCATAGAACACCTTTCTTCCAGATACCATATCCCCGCACTTGCAATACATATCAACCAAAGAAGATTGAATGAACAACTGTTTAGAGTACTCCTTTGTTTTTATCGCATAAGCATGAACCTCCTGCCCAAGTTTTTGGGCCAAAACTTCCCCAATAACCGGCAGAATACTAGTCAATATAACTGAATTTACTTCCACACCCTCCCTGACCATTCGCCTCACATACTCCAATGCTTCCCTTTGCAGACTATTATGAGCAAAACCCGCAATCATCGCACCCCAGGATACCACATCCCTCTTCTCAATCTCATCAAACAAAGCACGTGCCAGCTTAATCTTTCCACACTTGAAGTACATATCTATCATACTAGTTCTAACTATGATTCTCCCCGCCAAACCAATTTTTGTCAAGAGCGCATGAGTCTTCAGGCCTTGACGAAGTGCTTTAGCCCCTGCAAGACTCTTTATCAAACAAGAAAAACTATAAACATTCATCTCCACCCCGGAAGCCCGCATTTCAGAGAATGCCCCCAAGACTTCATGATAATTACGCCTACCCAACACCACATTTCCCCTGAGCAATGCATTCCACGGATACACACTTGAAACATTCATATCATCAAACACCTTCTTTGCATCCTCAATGGACCCGCAACTCGCATACGTATGAACAAGTTTCGTTCGTAAAAACTCATTCTTTTCAAGACCATTAATTCTTATATGGGCATGCACTTGTTTTGCTGAATTAATACATTTAAGCCTCACGCAAGCTGCAAGAAGACAAGAAAATGTAGTCAAATTTGTAGGGATGCCACGCTGGTCTAGGTAATCCAGTATAGCCAGTGCTTCTTTGAGCTTGTTTTGGTTCGCGAATTCCTGAATATCTTTGTAAATTGCATGTGGGTTCCTTGTGTGAACTGATAAGAAATTAGGGAAGGCGTCTTTTTCTTGGAATTTTTCGGGGATTCGTTTTTTACGAGTCGATGAATGAGCTGTTCTTGTTGAAGAGGCTTTGATTTTGAAGGTGTGAAGGTAATTGAATGAGTGAAGTTTAGTCCAAGGAGATTTTAGGTGCGGTTTTGGAGTGAAATTGCTGCTGGTCAGAGTCTCCATGTGCAATTCAACATTCATCAAGCTCGCAGTTCAGTATATATGGGACTTTCCTTATCCTGGAGATTTTCAGGGTGCAACTGCAGTCACAGGACGAAATGACTTGAGGAAATTCAATTAGTTTGCATTGGTACAAAATTATAAATGATTTATAAATTAGTCAATTTCAATATTACATTTATAACTATTATTTATATATTTTCGTGGAACTACTACTCGTTTTATTTACAAAATATTTATAAATTTGTCAAATCGAGACACAATATTTCATATCGTAATTTTTAGAATTTATATAAATTTTGATACTAAAGTATTCGTCTTTTTCATTATAGTCAATTCATCTCGACTTGAAATCGATTAGGGATTAAGTAGAGATATCTCGTTTAGAAGGAGAAAGTGAAGCATGTCCACAAACTTTCTGAATAATATCATTTTTTTTTTTTTTGTCAATTCTTCCAAAAATAACATTTTCTTCGAAAAAATATTAACAAAACATCTCTCTTTTTTATTTTTGGGCACAAATTTCAAATTACTCAAGCATTCTTGATTCTTGATAAACTAAACAAAATTAACGAAGTGTTTCCATCCTATTTAGATTATATTGTCAAAAGTTTCGTTAACTTTGTTTAAGAATATTTTAATAAAACAAGTTATAGTCAATTTGCATTTCTTTTCAAAGTTGAGATCGAAACAACTGCCACCTCCACCGCCACCTCCCCTCGGCCTTTTCTTTTCATTTTTCAATAGTATGTATTGAAAAAGAAATGTCTTTACACTGAATGGTAAATGGCTTTGATAAGAGAAAAGGCCTCTTTATCTTTCACACTTTTTTTTTTTTTTGGCAACATTGATCCTAAACCTGTATCGCCCCATTTAACACCCCTGGTGCCACCGCCACCACCACTCCCTCTTCATCTTGAACCAGGGCACCATAGTTAATGGCCCCAGCCTCCCTTTCTAACTACAATATCCATTCTTTACTTCAGCCCACCCACCATCGGTGGTTTTCCATTCCCCTTTTACTCTACTGACTGGAAGCCTCCTAGTCGGTCTGCGGCTGCCTAAGCACCTCCATTTCTAACATTAATGGCTTTACCTCAATAAATGGGAGTTTAAGAGTCTGATTCAATATCAAACCTCTTCCGGATCCATCTCAATCTGTCGTATCAAGTTAGCCCATATGGATGACCCCATGACCCATAATCCATCATCTCCTACTCGCACATAACCCAGCTTAGGTGGCAACCAATATCACACACAAATGCTAGTTTCAATAAAGTTCCTTACAAGCAGCACATGCACATTCTAAATAATTATACATTAACTCAAAATACAATGACTACATGTTTTATGAACTTGAACAGTGAACAAGAATCGAATGTAGCACATGTATCAAAATATCACTCAGAAATTCTTTGACACATTGCAAAATCAGTAATTGCAGGTGATATATTGACTCCAGTGAACTCGAAACAAAGAGAGAAAAGTCCCCAAATGTGTTACAATACTACATCAAATTAGGTGCTTCGAAAGAATTGTTCCAAGGATGTAGAGGTGTAAACGTTGGCAGCAGTTCCCTCAGGCTTCATTGGAGAAATGTGAAGCTGATACTTGATGAATCTCTGAAAATGAAACCAGAGTATGAATACCAACCCCAAAAATAAAAAAAAAAATAAAAAATAAAAAAAAGGGGAAAAGAAAAGAAAAGGAGCATAGATAAACAAAGCAACTTCTAAGAATTATTTCATAACAATTGTATATTAAACAAAACACAATAGATAGAAGCAAACTTGGCACCATTTCCAGATGATGACAAATTGGAATCCTCTTCCCATGGCGTAACCTAATATCTTCTCAAACAATAATCAAAAGTGGGAACCAAGAGTCGAGAGAAGGCATAAAATGAAGGGGCTCAGATTCAATTATATTAGATTAGCATGATAAGTTTGGAGATTGGGTTAGAAGAATTTACTCACAAAATCCAACCATCCAATCCTAAGACTTGAATCACAGGAAGAATGCAAATTTATCCCTTCCCAGTTATACTTAACATTGCTATAACCAACGTCAAATGTTTTATGCACCATCACAGAACTGACTAATCTAATTTTAGGAGTGGGGCTGTGGTTGGTTCTATTAATGGAATGAAAGAGCATTTCATGAAGAAATTATGAAATATACCGCTAATTGAGTAACGATTTCAGGGTTTGTGTCTACATGCCAATCCGGTTCCAGTTGTCTCACAAAAGATGTCCGTCCAATCTCTGTGCTAGAGAAAAGAACCTGCAAGTTCATTTGTTAGAAAATTAGATTATGAAGAGTGAGCAATTGAAGTATGTTGAAAAAAAAAATTAAAAAATTAAAAAAAGGTAAGATGAACAGAATTTAGAACCAGAAATCAAAATTAGCCACATTTTATTTAGGAGTTTTAGCCAGCTAAATGAAATTTTCTAAGGAATATTATAGATGTATGTAAATCCACAACAGTCAATGACCACATTAGCTAGATATTGTACAAAGAGGTGAAATTCTATCTATTTTAATGAGAAACTCAAGGTCTCCTAAAAAATGATTCTTGCAATAGCTTATGTAATAAGAATTCCTCACATCATATTAACACTCAACCCCATCAACTGTACGGTGACTTTTCATTTCTTTTCTTTATGTGTGGAAACGGGCGGCTAGGTTTCAGGGGATGCCATCTTCGAGCAAACAATGTTCCAATCCATATTGAGCATTACCAAGTCACATGAAGTGGAAGTAGGAGCAACAGAAAGATAAAGAGCAAGGGTCTTACAGCATCAAAATATTTTCTACCAGACTGCTTGTATCAAGAAATAAATAAAAACAATTATTACATACAAATATATAATATTCATTCATAAGATGGATAATGTGGTGTGGTAGCAGAAATAGTAAGCTTTGTAAACCTTACAAAATTCATCTGGCAACCTTCCATTATATAAAGTAAAAGGGGGTGGAATTCTATAGATATCACAAAACCTAGCCGGTCAAACCATACTAGTGTTTTTTGTGTGTGTGTGTGTGTGTGTGTGTGTGTTTTTTCTCTATTTTAGCTCCAATACACTACACACCCCACTTATTACCCCCACCCCTCCTCTATTCCCTGTATTTTCATTTTTGATAACTTATTTTCCTTCTTTTTAATTGAACTTCTCCACCACCATTGCACCCTTCACTCGTTCTTTGGTCTATCCACCTCCACAAATGGGTGATTTACGATTCCCAAGTCATCAATTTAAGAATGCCTTGGAACAATGCTCATTAATTCATGTAGCCCATTCATCTCCAATGGCACACCACCACCCTACCCAGGCCATCTATGTAGCACTAGTTTATGTTCTTAGTCGAATTTAGGAAACATATTAAACCCTTATTTGAGCCTCATTTTTCTAAAAATTCATTTTTTCAAAATTCATTTTTAACCACACATTCTCCAATAAATTAATATTGTACAAATCCAAAACTTTTCATTAATTTTTAACTATACGTTCTCCATTAATCTGTTACTCCAAAATGCATATCAACATATATCTTCCTTCTATGGATTTGCGTTTCTTTTGCCAAGTTATTTCTAAACACCTTTCTTTCTATTTTTAGTTCCAAGATAACTATACAATTCACGTGCTTCTGAGGACCCAGACGCTCTTTTAGCTTCTCAATAAACTAACTTATAATTTAAAAAACCTAAATTCTATTACATTCTCTTTCAGCTTGATTTGTTATCAAATCTTAAAATTCTGCCATGTTTTCTTTATTAGATGGGTTTCTGTTCTTACTCAGCTAGCTACTTCATTCCGATTTTTGTGCTAACTCTGTCTATGTCTGATTTCCTTCAATTTTTATACTTATAAGTCTTCGTTTTTTATCCTGTGGTTTCCCTGATCATTTCTTTTATTCAAACCACTTAGGTAATTCTCTTCCATTTCTTAATAATTGTGCAAGTATCACCAACCTATATTATGTAGCTAAGTTCTCACCCAGTATCACCTTATAATCCTAGCACAATGACCTTCCACCATCTTAGCAGGACTAAAATTCTGTTCAGTTTTAAAAATTAGGTCAGAGTCAATCTCTTCCAAGCATGTATTTGCTAGAAGCCTTCTTCATTATGATCATCATGGCTAAAATTTCCATGTAATCTTTTATATCCTGACTCATTTTTCTCCTCGTGACAATTAAAAAAAAAAAAAAAAATCTTATCTTGACTAGGGAATGCTTGATTCAGCCAATAGGTTCTACCAAAATTGTTGCTTTGTTGTCTTATATATATATATATATATATTGAACCCAGGATAACATGAACTGGAAAAATTTTATTTCTGAATTGGTGTTTTTAGAAAATTCAGGTCTATGGCCACAAACATAGAGCATGCTTGGGCGAGCTCACATTGGTACTTATAGTATCTCCAATGATGCAATTTATTTTAAAGAGCCAACATAAAGAGCATCTTGAAGAATATTTAAAGTAGAACTTTTTATAGAAGTACACCACCATCTTTATATTTTGTGCCTGTTTGAGCCACATTATTCCAAAAAAATATATTTTTAAACAGTGGTTTAACATCATTTCAACCACACATTCTTCAATAAAATAATATTACACGCAGATCAAAAACTTTTCCTTATTTTTTAACTACACATTTTCCATCAATACACTATTCAAGAATGCATTATTACCAAAATAATGTGGCTCAAGCATCCCCTTCGTCTTTATTTTTATTTTTTCTCCGTAAGCAACTATGACTCTTTTCTATCAATATTTCCCTCTTTCTATTTATCATTTTCCCTCTATTTTGAAAAGGTGGATGGAAAATTGTGAAATAATAAATGAAATCACTAAATTAATATATAGAGAATGAGTTTTGCTCTTTACATTTGGAGAGTCAAACCCATTCTTTATTTCTAAATATGATAGTTTGTTGGACTCACAAAAATATGAACTGACTCTAAAATATAGAAGGTTGGGACTTATAAAGAGGCTATTGGAGATGCTTATATAAGCTCCATTTTAATTTCAACCAGACATACTTTCCATCTTTAAAGTTGGTTAAATAATTGTTCATATCCCACCCCTACTTTTTCCTATTCGTATTGCTAAAGTTCACATCATTATGTTTCCTAATACTTCTAACCATCTAACCACTTGCATGAAAGCTATGTTGACTTTCTTCTTACACAACACATCTACTAGCTCTAATTTACCGGTAATTTTCCCAGTAATACGAGTTTGTATCCTAATTCTACCGTCCTAGATGCTTATATAAGCTCCATTTTAATTTCAACCAGACATACTTTCCATCTTTAAAGTTGGTTAAATAATTGTTCATATCCCACCCCTACTTTTTCCTATTCATATTGCTAAAGTTCACATCATTATGTTTCCTAATACTTCTAACCATCTAACCACTTGCATGAAAGCTATGTTGACTTTCTTCTTACACAACACATCTACTAGCTCTAATTTACCGGTAATTTTCCCAGTAATACGAGTTTGTATCCTAATTCTACCATCCTAGATAAATTCTTTATCACCCATCCATTGGAGTAAGTCACTAATGGGTTACAGCCTAGCTAACCCCAGCCAACTTTTCACTACACCTGATATACAATGCAAAGAGTTTACGGCGTGCTCTACTGATGTTCATAAAATGTGACAAAATTTACGACGCAAACCCAATAGTAAGTGTATTTGTATGAGAATAGTACTAAATGAGTGAACCCCTTGATAATCATTGCATTGCACACCTTTCTGCTCAAAAAAATAAAACCTACTCATTTATTCTGTAAATTCAATTGACTTTACAGAAAAAAATATAATTATAAAATAACAATACATTCCATTTTTATGGAAAGCTAGTCGACAAGCAAGTGGTTCTCATTGAAATTACAGGAGTAACAACATTCAAGGAAAAAATAGCATATATCTCATATAATTCATGAAAAGAGCAACATTATTTTTAAATTATCATGTACGAACAAATTTGTTCAGTCACTACCTTGTCTTTGACTAAGCCACCAGATGTAAAGATCCCAGCATCTTCCAAAGCTAGGAGAACTTTCTTCTGCAAAAGTTCATAAACCTATTAGTAACGAATGAAAACTAGGATTCATGTACAGCAATAACAGTTTATTATAACAGAACATATGAATCAAATGCATTATGCACTGGAAGCTATGAAAACAAACGCAGAAGCATAATTGACTTCAGGTGAAAACTGAATACATTTAGTTATCCCTTTTTTTTTTTTTTTTTTTTTTTTGGGGGGGTTTAAAATTTTTAACAAATGCATTATGCACTGGAAGCTATGAAAACAAACGCAGAAGCATAATTGACTTCAGGTGAAAACTGAATACATTTAGTTATCCCTTTTTTTTTTTTTTTTTTTTTTTAGGGCGGCATTAAAAATTATGAAACCTAATCAATTTTGTATTCTAGGTCTTATTTACATTCTGAGAGACATTCAGTCTGATCATCTGAACACTGTGAGAGACATTCACAGAAAAATTGACCAGATTAAAACAGACCAACACAACCTATTCAACTGCCTTTTAGGTTGTTTTACCCTAAAATTTCAGCACACATACAATCATGTTTTATATAGTGTAGTAGAGTTTTTGGCTTAAAAGAACATAAGACCTGCTGCAAGGATATTATCTTCTGATAGAAGTTGATATGCAACAGGGTCTCAAACTCGCTGACACTAAATATTACATGTTGGTAGAGATGCAATTACCTCGTATTTATAATTACTATTTCTAATAAGAAAATTAAGAGTTTATAGGTGACTTTCATCACCTTCCAAGTAGGTATAAGCTTCAGTATTCTGAATTTAGATTCTGTTATATTATTGTGTACCGAGTAACATGATTATTTTAAGTTGAATTCGGGACTAAACCTAAGAAAAACAACTTTTATCTGTTAATGTTACTTTAGCACTAGAATTGGATACATCCAATAACAATTTAAACCAGATTTGTCTATTAATATTCTTATACCTATGGCCAGAAATTTAAAATAACTAAAATTTTGTGGCATACAGATCAAGAGTAAACAAATCTGGGGACAAAGCTACACAAGGCACGGCATTAATTTTGACAAATAATCATACATGACAGTAGAAAAAAAATTCTTAAAACTGATAGCTACCAGCATCTCACCAACTGAATAGATTGCTTATTTTGGCAAGGGCTCAATAATCTAAGCTCTTAAGCCTAAAAACTGATAAAGCACATATGTGTCCCATAAACAAAGCAAATGCATTTTTTGAGAAGATGCATATGCATGTATGTTTTGTCTAAAATGTATGATTACTCTTTACCAAAATACATATATTGCTTTATAAATACAACTAAGTTGGAGATAAGCTTAAAAAGCTCTGCAGGCTTTTTTAGTGGTTGCAAAGAAGCGATGACTTCGTGTGGGGAGAAAGAAACACAAAAAAAGCTGAAACCCAACAATCTAGTGTTGGTTGATAGAAAAAGAAATGCTGAAAACACAGCACCAAGAAAAGAACAGACATATTTGCTTCCAAGACTGTGCACAGTGATTTCTAAGTGACATACAATAAGAAGAAAAGAACTGTGATAGCAACTAATTACAATTAACATGTGCCATGTTGAGCATACCTCACTTTCATCGTCCAGCACCCTTTCCATGAGATAGAGATCACAAAATTTTGTGATCTCAAGCAATACCTCTACCACAGACGATCTTACAGTTGCTTGTTTCTGCAAAAAAATAGTTAAACCGTGAGTTCAAACGTTTCCTTAATTGAGGTTACCAAAAAAATAAAGGAATGGTGGAGAGTAATTACCTGCAGCTCCTCTGGGCTGCTTTCTTCAAGTATTACACCAAGTAATCTGCATGTTACCTGCTCAATAGAATTTGTGAAATTATCAGAATAAATTGTCATGTGTATGATAATAAAGAAACTAACAAGACTACAAAGACAAAATTGTATCTAGCCTTGGATAGTTGGATCTCTATGTTTGACATAAGTCTTACTGTGATAAAGATGATAATCTTGGAAAAAACATAATCAGAACACTAAATAAAAATAATGTTTTGGTTCTTGATATAGAAAAATTGCCACATCTAGTCTTAAGTGTCCCCAGCAATTTTAGAAGCCTGAAATCAAGGTAAAGTCGACATTTCCTTAGTCATACTTTCTTTTCTATGTTTACCTCCATTAACAGAACACATGAATTTATTTGATAAAAAATTTGAATCCCAAAATTATTCCCAACATTTAGCCAAAAACCTACACTATCAAAAGAGTTGTTTTTTGTTTATCTTTCTCTCTAAAGCCCATCACAATGCTTAAGATATTGTAGATGCATGCAGAATTTTAAATGACTGAAAGTTACATGGTTATGAGCATTTAATTCTTAATAAAATAGGAGATATTGTTTTGAAAACTACTGTGCAGTATCTAAAACTTAAGGGTCTAATCAAGTTTCAATTTAATCTGTTCATTTTTTCCATTTCAAATTGCAATTGCGCTACTTCTCACAAGAAGATACAATAAAGGCCTCAAATAATGGTTTTGATAATTTATTTTGGTCTATTTATTTTCACTGCTAAAATGAGAACTAAAATGGAAATTGTATAATTCTAGCCACTTCTCTGTCGACATTTTAGACACCTATTGTCATGATATTTCTATTCATTGTGCCCTTGAATAAAAACACACCACCTCATTTCATTAGGCAAACTCGCTTTGAAACCATCAACTTCATTACAATCTGCTAGAACTAGATCAAGTAATTTCAAAATCATAATTGCATGGTTTTTTAAAAGAATTTTAAGTAGGACAAATTACATATGAACTATTAACTGTTCCATTAGTTGGGCATATAACCCATACTCTCATTTTTATCGCTGCTACTCCTTTATTATTTGTATGTTTCTATCGAATAATTGATATATTCACCTCAACTGTACCAAGTAGTTAACTTCAGCAACATTACACTTGATTAATAAGAAATGTTGTTTTAAATATATGCAAAACAAAGATCTTGCTTCACCGTCATAACTGCTAAATATGACCATTTTTTCTATCACAAATACAAAGAAACATTTTCTTTGCCCGGTCAAATTTTTTTAAAAGAAATAATATTTTGAACATAACCCTTTTTTCTATCATAAACACAAAGTAATATTTTCTCTGCTTAATCAAATTTTTTTAGAAGAAACCATATTTTGCATGGGAAAATTGCAGCCGAGGCACCAAATCTTTCGTTTATTAGCAGACTTTACCTAAACCTTTAGTTTGTGCCACCGTGAGTATCAGACCTTTCAAAAATATGCAGCTCAAGTCCAAAATGACGATTTCTGTTAGTTTGACCGTTAGTTTACATAATAAATTGACTTTGACCAATTTTATAAGGGATAAAATTGTAACATTGAAATAAAATTAAAAAACAAAAAAAAAGAAAAAAAAATCAAAAGTCATTCACTGTTCATCTTTTCATAATTAAAAAAAAAACAAAAATCAAACCCACCACCCACCACCATCCTCTTCTTCCTTAAACCCTTTATCCCAAAACCACCGAAGGTAATCGCTGATGGCACCGCCACCTTACGTCGGCCACCACTCCATCTGGATCATTCAGGCCACCGCTTCTATCAAAATCTTTGACCCACAATATAAATCTCACTCTCAATTTGAACAGGTAAATGAATTGAGCATAAAAGAAGCACTGTGCATTGGGTTATGAATCTGGTGCCCATGAGTTCACTTTAACTCAATCTGGACTTGCTTATTGCAATAAAGTTGTTGGGTTTGAATCCGGCGAATCTTTCTCCTCTTCTTCTTCAATAGATAGTGGTGTTAATGGGTTATTGCTATGATGGTGGTGGTGGTCGTGGTGGTGTTAGTGGGTCTTTGATTTTTCTATGGTTCTGGGCTGTAGCAATGACGATGTGTTTCGGTCTCTATCGTTGTGGAGGGCTACTGATGTATGGGATTTGGTAGTGATGGCAGTGGGATTGTTTCAATGTGGAGTTGGAATATGATGGGTAAGATTTGGTAGAGGTGCAGACAAACAAAATTGTAGACAGAACCCAGATGGATGATGTTTTATTACAAATGGACGATGGCGGTTAGGGCGACGGCGGTCGATGGGATGGATGACGATTGCCAAGAAGTTGGATAGGTTTTGGTTTTTGGGCTTGGGTATGTGTGGGGTGTGGAGGCGGGTGTAGGAAGGAGAAGATGAACAGTGGCTTTTGACTTTTTTTTTTTTTTTTTAATTCAAAGTTACAATTTTACCTCTTATAAAATTGGTCAAATTCAATTTATTAGGTCAACTAACAGTCAAACTAATAGAAACCATCCATTTGGACTTGATCTGCATATTTTTGAAAGATTTGGTACTCACAGTGACACAAACTAAAAGTTTGGACAAAGTTTGCTAATAAACGAAAGATTTGGTATCTCGACTGCAATCTTCCCTATTTTGCATGTATTTTTCTCTTATTTTGATTGTTTGTACAATGCCACTAGCGTCCTTAATGCGAGAAATAATATTTTTTTGCCAATTCAGTTGGCTATCTCTCTATTCTTCAATTAGGGCTAGATGCACTTCAACAAGAATCTTCGTTGAGGTACATGCAATATAACAAGTTCAACCTCTTGGCATCAAAAATAAATTTCCATTGGAACAGCTATCCACAGAATGAGCTTGCACTACAACCACAGACCACAACATTTAAATTGCCCCAACTCAACAAATTCAAAAAGTCACTTCTATAGTAATAAAAATAATAAAAGCTTTCATGGATTAATTTTATGATCATTGTCATCTGCCTTATAAGGTTGTACATCATTCAATCCAGCTATGAGAGCTCTGCAAGAATTCATGTGTATGAAATAGTTCCATCTTACTAAGAATCACACATGCATACAAGCAATGAACATGAATATCAGGTAACTAAGTATTCAACAAAGTACCTTCCTCCCTTCACTCAACCTCTGACGAACTATTTGACCAAGAGTTGGCTGCACTTGGAGAAAAGAATATCAAGTAAAACATGAATCAGTTGAAGCACCATAAAGTTCTTTAAGGAAGAATGAAAAACAATTCCCACATACCTTTACCGGCTGAAAGAGCTCATCTATCACATTCTGAGTTCTTGAGTCTTCTGAAGAATTGCTAATGCCTGAAGATGTCACATTTACATTGGCATTTCCATGACTACTAGAGCTAGAACTACCGCTTGTAGGAGCCTGCCTTTTGGGTTGCCTTCTTTGCGGTCCACTAGGTGTTCTCAATAATCTCCAAGTAAAAACTACTGCAAATGCTAGCCCAGCTATAGCCCCAATGGATCGTAGATCCTACAGTTGACCCAACAAATTTAGAAAATCAATTGGTATAAAATATAAATGCACATTACACGATAAATACAACTAATCAATTGTTAATTCTGCACCTAAACTTTATAAGTATGTTTCATTTTCTTTCCTACAAAAGATAAAGAAATACTAAAAATTCCACCTCAATAGCAAGCAGTCAATATATCATTTTCCTTCCTATGGGCAATTTTCTACGTAGGCGTGTGGTGGATGATCTAATGATAAGAGGGGTAATTACAATTCCAGTCAAACATCAATCAATCAAAAACGTCCAGAATTTTGTTACTACTTCCCCTTAATTTCATACATGTTAGGAACATGCTTAAGACACTTAGAAATAAACACATGTACATCCAAAATCAGGTGCTCTTCACAAGTATAGGAAGTTAAGATTGACCCATGTCTTTAAGGAATGGCAAATTTTCAAAGGCATATGCCTGAAGGAGGAAGGAAAATGTCAGATTACATAATGATATTGAAATCATACGACTCTAGTATAGAGGAGAAATCTACAGTGAAGGACAAAAAATTATACACATATGCACGTATGTATATCTATATCTACCTATCTACACATACAGAGAGAGAGAGAGAGAGAGAGGGTCTGCTAAAATCAGTGGTACTTGAGCTGATGTGGAGCTACATTTAGCTACCTGTAGCATGCTCCATTAAGATCTAAAGCCTTTCTTTCTATCGTTCAAGTTGATTATTTTCTAGCTTCAAAGAGCCATTAATCTTAGTTACCAGATATATGGAGGAATAGTTATTTAGTTTTCATTTATAAAATAAAGGATATATTCATGATGTTCAAGTTGTCTTAGCATTAAGTTAGTGAGTCACACATAATGACGGTTGGAGGAGAGAATGACTGAGAGACAAATTAGGCTTGAAATGATACATTCATAAAATCAATTTGGATACATGACTATCAATTGGTTAAGGAGGGCGACTGAACCAACCCTACATAAGTATGGGATGATATAAGGCTTTGTTGAGTTGAGTTTAAGAACCAAAGAATGAATAATCAAAATCTATTAATTATCCCTCGACAGTTGTCTACAATATTTTCTAACAGCTGTACTATCTGCCATAAAACCTTTGTGACGAGATTTCCTATTTCCATTTTAGAGTTGTTTCATGGTTTAACCTTTTTTTTTTCCTAATAATTATCTGCCAAACCTCAGACATCCATGATGTTCAACATGTGGAATGATTTCTTTTTTCTGGCAGTTTGGAAATATTCCACTAGAGATATAACACATAAGTAGAGAAGCCAATACCTAAACAGAGGAGAAGTGCAGATTTGTTAAGCTGGAGAAAGTACATGTCAATTAAATACAACTTTTGGGGAATGCAAGCTGTACTATTGCCATTGCAATATTTTTTTGCAGCAATAATTCATTTATAGCACTCTCATTACCCTAAACCTTTTATTTATGTTTGATCCTTAGATTGGCCTTGGGTGAACAGTCGAAGTTACTATTTAGCCTCTGTTTGTTTCCCATTCTTTTTCCATTAAAATGAAAAATATGACGGTTATCTATTACATCAAGTCACTAAATTTGAATTTCTATTGGGGTCTATAACGACTATATTTTTCATTCTCATTTTTACAAAAATGGAAAACAAACGCCACCTTAATATTTATTAGAATTTAGGCATTTATGTTCTGGTTTACAGTTATACATATAATAATTGCTCCAAGCAACTTCATATGCTCTCAAGTGTCGCCTCACCCTTATAATCATAAGGAGATAGAACTTATCTGCAATTTATGAGGAGATCTTTAGCCTGTCAAGAAGAATGATATTTCTTTTACGTGCCGACTTACTGATGGTTTTTAGTGTTACTTTTTCCTTTATTTGCACTTGCTAGTTGGTGGTTAGTTGTCAGTTTCAGGATTTCATGTATTTCAATAACTTTTATTTTCTTATAGTTTCTACTTGTGCCTGGTTAATTATTTCCTTCAGTGTTTTTCTTTTACTTGCTGACTGTTGTGTTAATCACCATTCACCCCAAACTAATGTGTTGACATTATATTGCTAAATCGAACATTTTAAACCTAGATTACTCTTTCTAATTTCGTACTTTGGAGTGCATTATGTAACTTATTGAAGTACTTAATTGGTTTGTGCAGAGGCTTATGTCTTAAATGGCCTCAAGACTTAAACCTTGCCTGATGAAGACAGAAGGTGTTCATACGCAATAGAACCTTTTTAAACATTGTTATACATTGTCTTAATCCTTCTATCCAACTCGTCATGAGCTTCTCTGTACCGTGAATTATCTGCTACCGACTCCTTTTTCAAAAATTTTGACACCTCATCAACAAGCAACCTCTTAGGAAATAATACAATCACAATTTATAGCATCGATCATTTCCAAATCTTGACACAATCAACTACTTTTTACAAAAAGAGGGCATCATTTATTACTTGCTAAACTGCTTTTTCGTTGACATGTAACTGCTTTAACAAATATAGTAAAGACGGATGATTTCATCAACAATGCAAAGTTTAAAGTCGGTTTACTTTTTAAGTAATAACTATACAAAACTACTTAATTACTCATACGTGTAAGTTAACGTTCCATAAACCGTCTAGCAGAATAACGTATAAATACTCGCCTAACCATACAGATCAAAGAATTTTCCTTTCAGGAACCTGTTGAAAATGGAAACATAGTGGGGAAGTAATACTCAAAATTATGTTAATACAAACATTTATAAATATTCAATTGAAAGCAATTGTCATTTAGAATGAGGAGTCCTGGTATTTAAGAAATGGGTCTGCAAAAAATAACAAATAATACAATGAATGTAAGACTAATGCAATCAGCGGAACTCATTCTCAGCAACATTTCATGATGGTTCTATATTTCTAAACACAATGGTAAACATTTGCATCAGAAACTAGTTTCTGCCTTCAATTACAAAGAATTAAGACAGCCCAGCATTAATAAACTAATTTCTTGTGAAAAAGTTCATTTCTTAATACCAACAGCTAAGTGTTTGCTATCTAACACACTCACAATACAGTAGTTTTTTCTTGTTCTGTAATCCCTCATAAAAAATTAATAATCAATATTCAGTTTCTTGTAAGCCCATTGTTTGTTACCGATTTATAAACCAAAATTTCATCCGCCATTAAAGAAAAAAGAACCCATTAAAGTTCATCGCTTCTGTTAATAAAATAAGAGAGACACATCATTGAATCACTAAATTCAAGAAAAAAATGAGCATGCATGATAATTAAAAAGAGGGAAAATCAACAGATATGAATAATTAGAAATAGAAAAAGAAATTGAACAGATAGAGACAGAAACTGAACCAAATTACGGAAGAGATTGGAAATCTTGATAGTGAAAAAAGCGCCGACACGCTTGATCAGCTGCAGGAAATCCTCCTTGGAATAATCAGCCATGGCCCCCTCGAATTCTCCACTAATTAAATAATTGACGATGATTTTATTGACGATGATTTTCTAATCTGTACGTGAATTGGTGACTTGGAAAGGAAGGAAAGGAAATCTTCAATCTCGGGTTTCCGCACTGTGGAAGATTGTAAGGCTATTGTTTTTTAAATCAGACTTTGCTTTCGTACCATAAAAGTGGTCGGGACGGGGACTCTATAGGTTTACACGTTATTTTGAAATATTTTATAAGTGCTATAACCGTAATATTTGATATCAATTTATTGAGGAAATTTGATGAGTCTTAAATAAACTAAAGAAGATAAAATTTAGGATAAAAATTTAAAAGAAAAAAATTGTACTCTAAAAAACTCAACTTCTATGTTTCAAATTTTTTGATATGATGAAATACTATAAATGAACAATCCGTTTACACTATATTTGGTACATAAAAATTAATTGTTAATACATGAATTTAAATATTCATTAAAATTCCTATATACATAAATAGAAATAAATTCATTTATAATAACTCTAACTTCATTTAGATCGAGATTCATTGAATCTAAATTAATGTGTATGTTAATTAATTGAAAATTAATTATACGAAATTTAGACATGACAATGATTTTTTAGCATTTATTACATATTGGAAAAACAAAAAGTAAGACATCATTAAAATAAGTTATCCAAAAAATGATTTTCAATTGATGCAATAAAGTTGCCAGAATTTCCATTCCATTTGTACATTTTGACAAATTTCACATTATTTAGGCTTTCCAAAACAAAACAAAAATAAATAAATAGATGTAGTACTTCCGAATTATGGAACTGGTAATCTCTATTACTATTCAATAGACATGTACTCCCTCCATCCCATTTATATATGCTGTCTTTCCTTATTTTCTTATATTAATTATATAGTCTTATTTCTTTATTGAAAATATTTTATTTTGCTAATTTACTAATATACCCTTACTTAATTTGTCTAATTATATTCAATTTCTCTTACTTAATCTTAAAACTATACAAATATAAATACGGGTAAATTATGAAAGTTTTTGAAAAAAAATGTTTTTTCAATGACATTAAATGAAATTTCTTAATCTGTGTAAAAAAATAAAACAAACCTATATAAATGGGACGAAGGGAGAATATATATATTTTTTCAATGACATTAAATAAAATTTCTTAATCTGTATAAAAAAATAAAACAAACCTATATAAATGGGATGAAGGGAAAATATATTTATGCCTCAATTAAAAGTGTGTTATTTGACACATATGTCAAATTGAACAGTAGTACTAGAAATTATTTATTTAACAATATAGTAGACTAGTTTCAGTTTTCTTCTTTCAATTTATTATTTGTGATTCCATCTATTGAAGTATTCTTTAATACTTTTTTGAAGGCTAGGAGTTCTTGGCAAAATAGGAATAAACGAAATTTTCTTTCTTTCTTTCTTTCCTTTTTTTAATCAAAGAATGTGAATATTTGTTTAAGAATTTGAAACATCAAGCCCACGTAGAAAACTTTTAGGAAAGTTGCATGATTAGATCTCAGTCCTTTTGTATTTTTCGATTTTTGAAATACGTTATCAATCTATAATATCTATTGATAGAATTATACACATAAGCATCAAAAAGGACAAAAAAATAAAATAAAAAATAAAAATGTTAATTAGATCCAGCACGACGGGCCTTATAAAAAAATAACCAATATATGCAAAATACGTCATTCACTTTCATAAGATGACCTACTTTCTTGTAGAAAAACGAAGAAGTCCCTAAAATCATCACCATCGCCATTTCTTTGACCCCCCCCCCCCCCCCCCCCCCCCCCCCCCTTTTTTTTTTTTTTTTTCCCCCCCCCTCCCAAAAAAAAAAAAAAAAAAAAAAACAAAATTGTGTCATCCTATAACTGCACAATCGACCTCCTCGAATTCAACCAACATGCATTCTTGTTGACCACCTATATGTTGGTTGTAGAAGGATAGAGATTGGAGAAATATGAGATTTTACTAATGAAATTTCGGGATTACAAATGAGTTGCGACAGCACACTCTTTCTCTCTATTTTTTGAGAGGTTTATTTTCTCACTTCTTATACATACATGACACTAGTTGGATGCTTTCCTATTTATAGAAAACATTGAGTAAACTAGTTTTAAGAATTTTCTACAATTACAACTAGATAAATGTTGTTTTTCTTCTCCACTTGCAGCTGGAAACATGTCTTTACAGATGTGTTTTAACCATCAAAAGTGTGAATGGCTGCTGCCTTAAGTTAATTTCCAGCTTGCATAGTTTGAACACTTGAATGTGAATTGGCTGCTGCTTTAATTTCCAGATTCCAACTGTTTTGTGAACATCAGATTGTTGTCCGTGATAATTTCTAGATTCCAGCTTGCTTGTTGAGTATACAACTTGAATTAGGAATCTTATCCTTTGACCATTCAATGAACGAAGCATTTGTAGGTTGAGTGTTCAATTTGAATTCTTTGAAGTCTTGAAGATTACAAATTATTCTAAAACTTTTAACACTATATTCCCCTCAAATTTCTCTGTTGCCTTCTGTTGACCCCAAAAAATGTTGCCAACAGATGCCGGTCCCACCCGCGCACACGTGGACGAATGTCCAACACGCTAAGACACGTAGAAGGTCTAAAACGAGCGGTTCAAAGGGCGTGGGAGTAGCCCAACGACGCGGGACGGTGACGTTCGAAATTTGACGGGTTGTTCGTGATCCGATTGTATAATAATTACCAATCAGTGTTCGTAAATGTATATGTAATTGTGTATAAACTCGATTTGTGTATTGCAAGTAAAAGAGAGAGAGTTGAGTAAAGTGTAGTTTTTTGTATTGATTCTTGCATTAGCCTTTTGATGTTACACAAGGGAAGTATTTATAGTGATACATGTGAAATGGGAGTCCTTGAATGAAGTGGCACGTGGCCTCATCTCTTTGATTCAAACATCTTATCCTAGGCATGAGACTTGACTTACTAGCTTGCTGCGCATTTATTGCTTGTGCCGAGTCTCCATACTAGTGACAAGACTTGACCTTTATGCTTATGACAAACGTTCCATCAATTATTCGATTAAGATCTTTGTGTAGGCGATCTCTTGGGAGGAGTGATCATGAAAGATGCTCCCTTGTGGTTCGGAGGCTCCTGCATCAACTTCGGGGCTTCGGCCATTTCATACAATACTTCCACTAAAGGGCTTCAGCTATCTTCAACCAGCTTCAGCATCGTGGCTTTGGGTCATAGGCCTCGGCATATGGACTTCGGCCTGAAAGGTTTCGGCCATAGTCCACCTCGGCTGGAGTGCCACGTGATTCGGCTTGAGTGGGCCATTAGCCCAGGTAGGTTGGCCAAGTACGACAACACACAACAATAGTCCCCCAAGTCCAAGTATGGTCATTTATGTAATGCGTGGACTTTTATGAAGTAAAAATTGAAGGAATTTTTTTCAATTTTTGAACCCCAAATAATAGTCCCTCAAGTCCAAGTATAGATATTTATATCATGGTTGGAGTTAGAGATGTGCTGCTGTAGGTAAACGATGAAGAGACCGAGGCTGTGTTGAAGATGAGGCCGAGGTGGTAGGGAAACCGAACCTGCATGGCTCGTTGGTTGAATGTTGAAGAGGAGGCCGAGGTAGTTGGGAAATCGAACCTGCAAGGCTTGTTGGCTGAACATTAAAGTTGAAGCCGAGGTGGTTGGGAAACCGAACCTGTAAGGCTTGTTGGCTAAACACTGAAGTTGAAGTCGAAGCGGTTGGGAAACCGAACCCACGAGGTTTGTTGGCTGAATGTTGAAGTTGAAGCCGAGGTGGTTGGGAAACCGAACCTGCGAGGCTTGTTGGCTGAACATTGAAGTTGAAGCCGAGGCAGTTGGGAAATCGAACCCGCGAGGCTTGTTGGCTGAATGTTGAAGTTGAAGCCAAGGATCAATGGGAATGATCGTGCGTTGATAGCTGCACCAATAATTTGATGTTTTGTGCTTGTTTTCGAGGAAAACTGGCTGACCCGTACGACTTCCAAGGCACTTGCTGCCGTCAAATTAAAAACACAATTATGAGGACAACTGGAGGTTCTAGAAGCAGATGCGTTGGATGGGGTGCGTGGGAGGCACGCTTGAATCTGAGGCGTAGGTTTGAAAAACCGTTTGAATTCAACGCCTCGAATTTAATCTACAATGGAGGGTTCAGATTGACTGAGCTTCGATCTGATGGCTGGGGTTCGTCCTGAACCTCTATAAAAGGTGAGAAAATCCCATTTTTCAGAACTTTTGAACATTTGCAATCTGATTCTCTCTGAAATCTTAAACTTTCTGGTGTCGAGACTGTTTTTTTTTCATTCTCCGACCTATCTTCGTTCGCGTAGTTCCTCCCTTAGGTATTATTCTTAGAAGAGCCCTTTTATTCCTGTGTTAATACTGTGAAATGGAGTCCACCTTGGGTAGGGAGCTGGTGACAGTAGCTTCATTAGATTGTGGGGTCAGTCACGGGGGGATTCCGAGGTTGATAGGTATGCTATGACCGAGGACCCAGTAGATTATATCGAAGAGTGGGGGGAGTCCTTATTTTGGGTGCGAGGAAAGTGGTAGGCAGTGGAGGGGGACAAGGCCCTTTCTTGCACAGTGCCGACCCAGTACTACGAAGCTCGTGAGTCTCCCAGCCCCTACTTGTACTTCTGAATTGAGCACTTGAAATTTTCTAACTGTTGGGGCTTCCATTGCAGATTGTAGTACAAGGTTCGAGCTCAGTCGGGAAGAGTTCGAGGTGATAGAGGACATCTACAAGAGGCCTCTGAAGCTCTGCCACTTTGACCACCTGATCGACAGGAGTCGCTACTTCCTGGATTTTGGACTGATGGCTTCCAGAGGTACAAAGCTCCCACGGTTGTAAATTTTCTTGTTCTTTTGTTTGGATTCTGATGTGCAGACCTGACGTGCTATGCAGATAAATTCAAGAGGAGAGAGTACCTAGCTCCAGACATGACTACTATTCTGAAGGCCACCAACACTGTCAAGGCGAGGCCCCTGAAGTCGGGGTCTAGTGGGGCCAAGGAGGTCTGGTGGGGCCAAGGAGGTCTGAAGCAGGGTGGAACGCCTTTCCAAGGATAGCACTCCAAAGGCTTCCAAAGGGGGGCTCCCCAGAGGCAGGAGAAGCCAAAAGAGCCTCGGGGGAAAGAGAAAGTCCCTGAGGAGGTGAAGAGG